TGGTCGCGGGGGGGTGGCAGGCTGCCGCATTCCCCACTGCCCCCCGCCTCCCACACCCCCTCGCACATCCGTGGTGCCTTCGGTCTTGTCCCCCGGGAGCTCAGCCAGCACCCGACGAGTTGTGGGGCGGAGGGAGGGAGCCAGCTGAGCGGTGGGACTCCGAGCGCACCCCTCTTTGGCTTGGGGTGGAGGGAGGGGAGTCGGGCAGGGCGGTGGGCCAGCTGGCGAGAGCGGCTACTGCAGGCCTGGGCAAGGGCGTGCCCACAGCCTGAGGTCCTCTAGCTCCCGCCTTCTAGACAGCTGGGGATCCCCAAAAGCCTCCGGGTCCCTCTGTCAGTTATGTGTCTAGAGTAACCAGTTACCCTCACCAACCGGAACATCCCTAGTTCCTCCCACCCCAGCGCCCCTACTCAACTGTCCAGCAACAATTCCTAGCCCTGGGCAATCCTCCTCAAGAAACACCGTTTTCGGGAGATCCCAGGCCATGGGAACCGAAGTCTCTCTGAATCCCTTGTCAAAGAAACTGCCTCCCAAAAACGCGATTTCGCTTCAGATTCTCACCCAAGTAGCCTACAAAGCAACTCAATATTTTCTTCCTTGGCTCTCCCTGTTGTTACACACCTGTACCCGCAGCCTTATTCTCAATATTTTTTTTTTCTTCTCAGTAGAGCTTTTCTTTCCTTCCTAAGTTTTACTTAGCAAGATCCCAAGCGAATGTCTGATCTGTGGACCCTCTTAAGGACCGGTACATTTGTGACTAATACGGCTCTTGTCCCTGAGGCCGAATACAAGATGGATGAGAAGTAGGGTGTTTGCACTTGCTCTCAGGCTGGAGAGCCCCAACTCCCTAGTGTTTGCTGTTCTTTGTGATTGAGTATCACTGGGAGCATTTTCGGTACCTCTCATAAAAGGAACTTTTTGAGTTAGTTTAGTTGAAACTTAGCTTTGGGGAATAAATTCCAACATTTTGGAGTGCTAAAAATCAAAGACTTTTACATACGTTGAGTTCTTAGAAAATACCTGACTGAACCCTGCAATTACACAGATAGAGCTGAAACCCAAAAGAAGTTAACTGATCAATGCAAGGTTATACAAAGGGTTAGTGGGAGAAATGACAAGTGTTGGCAGGGGCAGGAAACACTATGATTTTATAGTGCTTTCCAGTCCTGTGAGGCTAATGTTTCTATCCCTAAAGGATTTGGGTGCCTGTCTTCTAACTCTGGCTGGTCCTCTCTCTGAGATGATGATTGTGCCTCATTGAGCTGATCTTTAATGTTTTAGATAATCTTTCCCTGATCTTTAATGTTTTAGATAATTTTTCCTTTTCTAAAACAAGGTTTCTTAGCTCCATTGGTGTAATGTCTCTGTCACTTAAAAACACAAGGACAAGAACGGAGAAAGTACTTTGTGAACAGTAAAGCCTCATATAAGTGCCAGTCAATGATGGAGAGACGCCAAGAGAGAATATCCTCTGGGAAGATCCTTCAGGATGGTCAGGACTTTGCCCTACTATTTTTCTTTCATTATTTCTTGAGTTCATAGTTTCTGGAGAAGAGCCCTGCCTGGCTCTTGAACATTTCTTGAGCACTGGGTAGTTATTGTTATGATTTCTTGCAGGATAATATTGGCCATCATTGGTAGTTCGACTTATCTGACTTGACATAATATCTCAATGACTCCAATTCATTCTGCCTCGTTGGGGCTCTGGACACCTTGGAGTCTTTGAGAAGTGAAGATGGAAGTGTTGGTGTACAGGAAAGACGTGGAGATGTGGATGTAAGAGACAAGCGTTGCGGTGGGGATAGGGAGAGATAAAGGGAAGACTGAACTTTCTGAGAGAGGTGGGACCAAGTTAATATGCTGACAGAATGAAAGAGTGAAGATGTTTACAGAAAGAGTTATCTTCAGTGGGGAAGGATTAGGCTATTCTACTTAAAGTGTCTTGATGGATAAAGAGCATTATCTTTGGAGATTGAAGGAGCCTTGGAGATTATCTAAGTGTGCTCAAGAGATGCGTGTGTGTGTGTGTGTGTGTGTGTGTGTGTGTGCGTGTGTGTTTGTATTAGAATAAGGATGGGTGAGATGGGGCGGGCAGAATATGGGATTAAGTCCCAGTGTTCTCTGATTTTAATCATCTTTTCCATCTGCTGCTCCACTGTGATTCCCTTCTTCCTGTCCCTCCTTCATTCTCTCATGATTGCTGGTCTGGCCCCACTCTCTAGTGTAACAACATGGGACCAGGACCAAGGATGAGAGGGAAGGAGGGAGGCTGTTTTGGAGAGAGTATTAAGCCTAGCAAATGAAACTCTGGAATGCTCTTTTCCTACTGGCTTCCCTTCCATTTTCTGCATCATCCGCATTAGTTTGGCAGCATTTTAGGTCCTGGGAATAAGAAGCAGTCATTGGCTTTTAGATTTAGGAAATAGAAGTGGATTAGAGTTCTAAAGATCCTTCAAGATTATCTAATTAATAACACTCCTTGTTGAACAGATGAAAACAAAACAAAACAAAACAAAACTCAGAACCTATGTGACTTTCTGTTTGTACAGCTAGCTAGTAAAACATTACCAGTAGTGGATGTGGAGGGAGGTGATAGTTACCCTTTGCAGGTAGGAGGGATAAGGAGAATCATTCCCAATATTGCAGAGCAATGTCCAATTTAAGGAACTCCTCACTTCTGTATGTCACAGAGTGGAAAGGTCTTTTCTCCCACATGGGTATGGACATTCCCATTTGGAATGACCCTTTGCCTATAATTATTGTAATGCCCATGTCACATCCTACCGGGCCCCTATACACTTAAACAGAGTTTTTTCAAAGACTGGCCTACACGGATTATCTCTGTCATAAAATAGGTTAGCGTATCCTCGTCAGGTTGTGATCTCTATGGTTACTCTGTACCCTGAAGTGCTATGGCATGCAGTACGTGTCTCCCAGGGCCTTGCCCACAGTCCGGAGTAGGTTGTCTGTGGGACTACAGATCTCGCATCTATTGTGAAAATTGGGGGGAGCAGAGAAGGGGAGTGGAGAGCAGGCGGATTTGGCCTCTTGGATGCCCCTGTCCACTCAGCAACAGATTGGGTAGCCGGGGGTGTGGAATGTGGTGCTGGCACTGGTGCTGGGCTGGACACAGCTGTGTGGGCCCCAGGCATTCCTTTCTCCATGCTGCTTCTGCAGAAGGCAGGACATGGGGAGGGGATCAGTCTTCAGTGGGGTGAATCTTACATATTCACCTGGGAGAAGCTAGCAGCACCTGTGGGGAACGACCTCAGAAGATGTACCTCAATATCCATTCAGATTCTGCCCTGTACCCTAGCTCCTCTCCCCTTTTATCAGTAAATTCTGCACAGGTTTCCGCACAGCATTCCTCTTCAATTTTCCACTCAACTAAACCAGTACTCTTTATCCCGCTTCTTACTTCTATTATCCAGTTTTAATTAACACAATCCTTAATAATAACCTCTATATGCATTTTAATTCTAACCTTAATTGAATTCTAATTTCAATCCTAACCCTAATCTATTATAGACCCTAACTACTAACCCTAGTATGAACCCCGATCCCAACTAATAATGACCAGAATGACTTCTAAAATTCTGAGTGCCTTGAAAGCATATTATTATTGGTTTAATTTTAAAAAAATAAATAGTGGTACAAAATAGAAAACAAGAGTTCAGATATCCCTCCCTAGAAATCCTATTGACATCGCAAAGCATTAAAGCAGTTTCCTGATAAAGTTAAAATATTCAAACTGTAGAAAGAAACAAACTGCAGAGAAAAGCCTCCTCTCCTTCCCAGAGTGGCCATATTGCACAACCCCAGGGGGCATTGTTCTAATTGGAGTTGTGTAACGCAGCAGCACTGCCTCCCACAGTTTTTCAGAAAAGCACATAGAGTCAAGGTAAATAGCTACCAAACTAAATCACACTCTGTGTGTATATGACTTAACCATGGCAATCATTAGACCCTTGGAATTTATAGTAGCAGTAACTATTAAGGGCCAGACTCTCCGCTAAGCTCTTTATTTATTACCCATTTCAATAGTCACAAGTACTCTGTACAGTATTTGGTGCCCGTATTACAGGTGAGTCCAGTGAGGTTGGAAGAAGCGAGATAACTGGCTCTGGGGCAAGGACAGACAGAGCAGGAGGGAGCAAGGCTTCAGACTGCGACTTGACTGAGTCTAAAGCCTAAGTTCTTAACCCTTGCACTTGGGCAGGGAAGTTTCTCAAGGAGGCGGTAGGTCATCTGGTTCTGAAGGTAAGTAGGGGAGCTGCTTGTTGGCAGCCAAGAAGATCATGTAGGACAGTAGAGATGGACTCAGGTCAATATAGGATGAGACAATGCAAGGGGGAGACGTTGATAACTGGATTACAGAGGAAAATGACTACAAGGTAAGGGAGAAATAGGGGAATAGAACAAATATGAGTAGAGGTTGGGGAAATTTTTTGTGATAAAGTCAAGCAAAAGTAGAATCAAGTAATAAATATATGTGTCACTATCGCTCCAGCTACAGGCTGATTGATGTATTATGGAAAGGCAGTAGACACATATAATCATCTGCAAATAAAAATGCACGTTTTCAGTTACATGGGAATCTGTAGCTTCTCCAAAGAAATACCTTCATGTTCCTTACCTTGCATTCTGGGCCTCAGCAGTATCAAATTGCTTGTAATTCCCCAAACACGTGGTGTTGTTTCATGCCTCAGGGTCTTTGCACGTACTGTTTCCCATACCTGGATTGCTCATCTCATTAAACCTGGTGAAAACTGTGCTTGTGTTTATCTACTCAAAATTTGATTAGGAGTTGCCACCTCTGGGAAGCTTTCTACCTAGAGGTAATCACTTCTTGTTAGGTGCTACCACTATATTGAATATATATCTCTGCTGGTCTACTTTTCTTTATATTTTTATTTTTATTAGTACGTGCTTGCAGTATATAATGGTTCCATTCGTTGTGGGGATTTGGTACATGTAGATAACAGATCTTAATTCTGTTTTTCATATCCTTCCCTTCTCCTCCCTTCTCGTGCTATTCCTTGGCCACTTTCCCTTGTGCAAAAGATCTATCACCCCATTTCCTATTATCTATCTTTTATTTTGCTCTTTAATGTATTTTTATTTTGGGTTTATTAAATAAGAGAAATAATGTGATATTTAAGCTTGTGTGTCTGATTTATTTCACTTAACATTATGGTCTCAAGGTACATCTGTCTTCCTAGAAATGGCTCAAGTTTATCCTTCTTTAGAAGCGTAGTACTCCATTGTTTTACAGTAATTTGTCTGTGCTTTTCTAACTGTGCAGTCTTTTAAGGGCAGGAATGATACTCATCAAGCTCATTATTCCCCGAGCTTAGTGCAGAAACAACAACAACAAAAT